CCGGGGCGGGCGGGGGCGGAGCCCGGGACCGGGGCGGGGGCTCCGGGGGGACCATGCCCGGAGGCCGGCCGGCCGCAGCATGGCTCACGGGCCGGGCGCGCTGATGCTCAAGTGCGTGGTGGTCGGCGATGGGGCGGTGGGCAAGACGTGCCTACTCATGAGCTATGCCAACGACGCCTTCCCCGAGGAGTACGTGCCCACCGTCTTCGACCACTACGCAGGTAAGCTCGGAACTGCTGACTAAGGGGCTGCTCCCCAGGCCGGGAACTTTGGAGCAACTTTGGCTAGCCCCCCGCTGCCTCCCCCAGTCCCACCCCCGAGGCTCTGCTGCCCGGGACCGGGTAGCCAGCGGTCCACCCCTCTTCCTACACCCACCCCCTTTCTCTTCAGACCCCAGGTCCCCGCACTTCCCACTCGCTATGACACCCCGGGCCGACCTCCTTGACCTTCCCACAGCTGTCTACCCCACTACTCTAAGCTCCTAAAGGAAACATTTAGGGAAACCCGGTGAAATGCAGCTGTGGGATTTGGGATAAGGGGGCAGACAGCTGGGGGCCACATCACACCCTGGCCTCCTGCCACTTCACCGCGAGCTGGGAGCAAGGGGAAAGGGGCTGATATCTCCTGAGGAGCACCCACACATCTACAGCTGGGTGGGAGAGGAGGGTACTGGTGGGAAGCGACTTTGCCCCAGAACCCAGGTCATTGTGAGCCTCTCTCCCCACCCCCACTTCTGTCCTTGCAGTCAGCGTCACCGTGGGGGGCAAGCAGTACCTCTTGGGACTCTATGACACCGCTGGACAGGTGAGTGTCTTGGCCTCTGGCTGACGCCCACCTCCTCTTTTCCTAATTTTGTGTGTGGGCCTTTGGAAACTGAGGTGTAGAGGTGGGAGGGTGTGTCTACCAGGGGCTCTCTCTGGATCAGATCTATCATCCATCTATCTATCTATCTATCTATCTATCTATCTATCTATATTTTTTTTTGTCAAGTCAGCTTTTAGTAAAACAAAACAAAACCAGACCAGCCTAGCCTACCCAGTGAACCCCTAAGCTGTGAAAGTTTTTGCCTGTGTGGGTCCTTATGTGTGGTGCCTGGTGTGTGGGTCTCAACTCCTGTTGCAAAGTGGCAGCGGCCAATCATGAAGGGCCCTTATTTTTAGTTGCAGATGACCAGGTCTCCCCTTCACAGCCTCTGTCTGGTCCCTCATTGGTGAGTGGTCTGCCTGCCGGTGGAGCCTGATTGGTGGGAAATGGCATCATCTAATATGATGGGAAGGCATTTGGTCCTGGTTATGTTTATTACAACATCATTGCACTCTGGGACTTGAGTCCCTGAAAACGTAATTTGTGGTGTTACCAGAGGACTATGGGGAAAAAAAAAGAAAAGAAACAACAATCATCCAGCCACTCCCTGGGGCAGCTGTGCAGGAGGAAGGGTTAGGAGTTCAGGATGAATCTTAGAGGAAGAGTTTTTGCTTTTTGTTTTTTGCCCCCCCTCCACAAGGGCCAGATGACTGTCTGGGTTTTCATTGGGAGAGATTATTGTACAGAAAGAAAATGCATACTTCTCTCAGCAGTCTGGCCAGTGTTTGCAAGTCAGAGGTGGCCAGGCTCTGTTCCTAAAGGATTAAGGTCTCCATGTCTCCCTGAACCATTCCACCCTCTTCCTAGATCCACTTTTGCTCTCGGACTAAGAAGATTGCATGTAAGGAAGTTTTATAGAATCCAGCCTGTGATTAGACCTAAAAACTCAGGCAGAAGTTTCTGTATGTATGCAGACTTGAGTCCTTGAAGACATGTGAGCAGCTGCAGGGCTTAGAGAGTATCTTTGGGCAAAGTCCAGTAGTAGAGTTTCCTTATCTGTAAGACAGGGTTTAAAAAATAATAGTAAGACTGTCCCTCTGTGCAGATACTGTATGCCAAATACTGAACATAAAACCAGGTACACAATATACTTGTATACTTGGTAAACAATAAAAAGAGTTCTTTCTGTTCTTTGCAGCTTGTCTAGATTTGGACTTCAAAGTTGTGGTAGTAAGTTTGATTCAGTGTTATATTCTGAAAAATGTTGAACTTGGGGTATGTCTCTAAACTGTTAAGTTAGGAGCATCTGAGGCTAGAGAACTAATGGCAGTTCAAAGTACCTGAGGCTACCCCCTTTCACCAAACTGGCCCAAGTCAGTACATCCGGTTCTCAGCTTCCCAAGGTTTCTATGATTGACTGCCTTGTAGTTGTTATTCCTTCCCCCTTCCTCAGAAGGTGTGGAGAACAAGAGGCAGAACCCACTGAATCAAATAAGACCAACTTTTAAGTAATGCAATTGAAAAACAAGAGGTTGGCATTATTTACTGAAAAGAGGGAGTTTTTTTTTTAAATCATTTCTAGAGACCAGCAGTTGGCGTAATGGCTATATCCCTGGACTCCCATGTAGTCGACTGCTGTTCAAGTCCCGGTGGCTTAAACTCATGCCGGGCACATGTGTGTGCATGTCCAAAATCCCAAGAAGAGAATGGAGGAGAAGGGATCACAGCATGGCTAACCCCCCTGGGGGGTGATTTCTTGCTCGCTCGCTCTCTCTCACTCTCTCTCTCTTCCTGGAGAGCACACATGCCCTATAGCAAAAACCTCTCAAAAAATTGTCTCTAATTTTAACTTTTCTCACTAACCCCCTCTTTCCTTATCTTCTTTACTTGCCACCATGACCATTTTCCACCATGTATCC